TGAACTTCCCCTACTCAGTCAGATATGGTTTTTTTTTTTTTTTTTTTAATTTTTTTCCCCTGAAAAAAAATAGTGACCATTTAGCATATTTTTGAGATTTGAAACTCATTCAGATTAAAATGTGACTCCCTTACTTCCAGTCTTACATCTAATGCTACAATAATATTGAAAGAGACAGCAATTAATTATTTTGACAGCAGTAAATAATAACTTCGGCTTTTATGTGCCACAATGAAGGGTTTGCAATACCAGTTCTTAAATGTATGGAGCTAAAAAAGTATGTCAAACAGGGCAGCARTAGCTGAACCATGGGGTATCACAGTCTTGTTTTTCTGAAGGGGTGAAATTACACTTWTACTGTACTGTCTAGAAAAGAAATGAAACTATATTTTGTATCATGAAGAATATAATGGAGTAAAAAAAAAAGTTAAGTTTCACCTCATAGATCTGCTGAAATGAAAGCTGTGGAATAAGTCAAGAGTATCATGTTTGCTATGGAGCAGGATAGTTCCTCTGAAATGGCGTCTATTCATAGAATCACTGAACTACAATGTTGGAAGGGACATTTAAAGGTTATTTAGTCAATTTAAAGGTCRCCAATTATTTTGATTTTGATTATCTAGTCTTTGACTATTTTTTTTTTTTTGGTAGCAATGGCTTTTTGGGCACAAAGTATTCTGTGTGCCAGCAGTGGGATAACTTGTTTTGACATTTAGAGCTCATATCCAGATTAACTTTATAGTCCCTTCTGCATGCTATACTTTGTCATAGTTCACATGACCATCTTGGAACATACATCCATGAAACATATTTGCTTTCCCTCAAGGAAGCATGGGGAAAAAAGGTAGCTGTGGTTATACTGCCTAACTTTTTAGGGGTGACAGCCTACTCCCATCTGGCCCTTTTTGCCTTACATATCTCAGGAGCAAGAAGTGAACCATTGTGCAGGTTCAATGCACAGAGAGCACCATGTACCATCTCTTCTCTTCAAGTGCAGTAAATACATTCTCCTGGGAATAATGAAGTCTGGAATCTGCCTGAAGAGGAGTGTGTGTGGAGTAAAGAGGGGTTCCACAGCCCTACTGTGCCACCAGGAGAGCTGTGTGATCCACCTACTGGGAAAGTCACTACTGCTGCATTTCTCAGTCTGAGAACAGCAAAAGGTCCCTGGATAGGCAGAGTCAAATTCTATGATGAAGAGTTCCCAGGAACTCATTTCCTTCCAAAGAATGTTGCAAGTTCATGAAGAAAACAGAATGAAGGATTTTAGAGTAAAGCCTAAATTCTCACTCTTGTAGGACTTTTGGGTCCGACAAAATTGCCAGGTCTACCTCCATTCCTGGGTACAATTCAGCAAAGACCCAGCTGGCTCTGATCCCAGGGAAACAGGATTGTTTTACACCTGATCAGTGGAATGGTGAAGAGCTCAGTGTGTGATTTCCTTGGTTTCAGGAAATAAGATGCTGATAACACTTGGATTTCARCAGTGCTGTCAGATGCACACAACTGCAAGTGCGAGTTGAACAAAGGATTATTTTCAGGTTTCTACCAAGCATCAATTTGTTCATCTTTCACCCCAGACTCATTAAGAAGATCTGTAAATTATTTGCCCAAGGTGTACTTTGTAGATACACAGATAGGCATGTCTCCAGATCTGCTTCCTGTTTGATATAAATCACAAATGGAAAAGAAAAACATTTGAAAAATGGAGGCAAAAGGATTGACATGTGCAGTTTATTAGAACCTGGGAGGAACATTGCACTTTCTAGCCCAGCTACATAAATAATCAGGATATGATGCAGGACTCCTATCAGCTCAGTCCTTTTCATAAATTAAACAGCAAATGAGACTAGCAAATGCATGAGCAATTAACAGTAAAAGTAAATTAGATTAGTCCTAGATGAACTTTAGCCTGTCTCTCTAATAAAGCTTGGTTCTAGGTTGTAATTCAGTGTAGAAGCATGAGCTACAGCCTGCTCAGGACCTGTTATTGCAAACATCCATTTAGTAAAAAATATGGTGACACTTCATGAATATGCTGCAACAGAGAGATTCAAGAAAAGCAGAGTAGTGCAATATTCACAGGAGTAGTGCAATATACACACACACATGTATATATATATATACTATATATATATACATGCACACACCTATTCATATACAAATAAATATACATACACACACATATGAACATTTTACCCTATTGTGTAGGACCAGTAACTGCAGCAACACCCAGGTTACAAAAATGTGTTGCAATTTAGGTTTAAAAATACTTTTTCTTGACAATGGGAATATGTAGTAAACTGAGAAATGGAATTAAAAATGAATAACTAGGAAGTTTAATAGGAACTCTTTTAGCAATTGTGTCTGACTAGTTTATAGAGATAATCTGAAAGATATTGCTGCAGAATTTTATGGGGGCAGAAACATAAGTAATTTTTAAAAGGTAATWGTACCATGGAAGACAAAGTTTGTTGAAGCCTACCAAATATAAAAATGTAATTTAAATCAATAGACCACAAAAYTGCTCCTGTCCAGAAGTTACAAAGAAAAAGGACGCAGGGGAATCAGAGAAAGAAGGCCACTGCCTACATGACAGAACAAGATATTTGACCAGAARCACATTTAAGCATAGTTTGTATGTTCTTACATGCATGCATACATTGCAGTCAGTATTTGTGCATGTARCTATCTGATATTTATGTAAACTGAGTACCTACCCAAAGGAAAAAAAGTTAAAAACTCCAAAAAGCCGGTACACAATCATCCAATAGAAACCTTTTTGAAATAACACTTGGATATTTTTCTAAGTCATTCTAACTCTATGATTGCTACRATTAATTTATCAGAAGTGCATTTGTAGGCATCTTTGTTTGGTCAGAGACCAAAATAATGAATTGCAAGCTTAGAATTTAATTTGATTATTAGCTGGGTGAGTGGCATTTCCTAAACCCCTCAGCACTGTAGGAAAGCTAATTATTATTCAGTGCATGGCAGTRTAGCACATGATGTAAGTAAGGCCAGAATTTAGGCCATAAATTTTACCATAGATTGAAAAAGGCAACACGCTGCATTCAACAATTCYCACTGTTTTCCTGAAAATTCTCCTGAACTAAAGCCTAATCTATTTTTCAGTCAAATACGTCCCTCCTCCCTCCCTGCTCTGTCTGCCTCAAGAGAAATTAGATTTCCTCTCCCATCAGCTCAGATCTAATGACAGGTATGAAATGCACTGGGAGCCCAGCAGCAGAATATCCCAGGGATTATCTTTACTTGGAATGCAGAGCAGTGATGTGAGAGCAGAGCAGCCAAGGCTGCTGTTTGCTCCAGCTTTGCTCTTGAGCCACCGTGATGGAAGTGAARATGTAAATGATGGCATGAAGTGATGAAAAGGCTGCTGCACCCACATCCCTCTCCCAGTAATCTCCAATATTGTCCTCATGCCCGATCTGCCGTGTTTGGAGTCGTCAATCCTGCACTGAACACCATCAAAACAGAGTTTGCCACACTTCCAAATCTATTGGCACACCAAGCACTTCACTTGACAGGGACAAACACATTTTCCTTTTTTTTTTTGGAGTAAAAGCACCAGTAAAATGAGGGGGGAAATGCCAATATACACTCAACAAATCTGCAAACAGGTTACAAGGACAATGAATATTTATCACTCACCCCAATCCCAACAGCTGGCAAACGCTGTCTGAAATCTCTGCATTCCAATCATCTGCACACGCCAGATGCCACAGCTTCCCAATCCTGGCCTGCACCAACCCTTCAGTGCTCAGAGAGCCATTAAGCAATCTCACTGGAAAAAAAAATGTGCAGAAGCATTTGAGAGAGGTGGCAAACCACATTCCTCCCCCACCCCAACCAAACAGAAATGTAATATAAAGAGATTTATTATTGCCAATGAAGAACCAAGATAATAATAAACCAAGATATATTATTGCAAAAAAAAATGTAAAATGCATTACATTGGTAATAAACCCARCATCTTCAAGATGTTGTGTTCTCACAGGAAGATAATGCTATTGCTATTTCCTGTATTTCTGCCACAGGAGAATTTCATACCTTCTATTTTGCAAATGTCTCAGAAATAGACAATAAAAGTACATTATCCATCAACTGTAGCCAATGCTTTTTTTCTTAGTCAGCATTATATAATTTCCAAATAGTGTGTGAAACTTTAGCTCCATCATTAGCACTGACAGGAAATAAGGTTAAAATGAGAGCTGACAGAAAAAAAATGGACTTCCCATCTCCAGTTGCTATGAGTTTTTACTGTAGCTTTAGTTAAAACACACTAATTATAAAAGCTCACTGAAAACCAGTCCTTCTATAGAAAGTTTTCCCAAAAAGAAATATTCAGAACAAAAATTCAGAAACTCATTAACTTATTGGTAAAAAAATCTTACGCTATTGGCAGAGTGACTAAGGAAGTTGGATCATAAGGCCAACAGATTCTCATATATGCACATGTATATAAAATAAGAAATTTATTATATAAGATTATAAATGTGTGTAATAAGAAGGTCAACAGTCTCACATGTCTCTTAGGAGCTACAGCTGTATTTCAGGCAGATGACAGGTATTACCATTGTGAAGTAGAGAAAAGCATGCAATACAGTGAAATTTACTGATTACCAAAATATATATCTTTAAAAAAAATCTTACTTGTCCAGAAAATATTTTTTCCACCAAAATGCTCTCATAAAGTGTACCCACTATAGCAAATAAAAAATTTAGATTTTCAGAAATGTCTCTGTGACACCTGGAGTGCATGAATGAAACAAGTGATATACAGTGATGAATTAATGGTAAATCTCAGACAAAATTAATTAAATTTTGAAGCAGTCCTAAAGATCTCAGAACTGTATGCCCTGAAACATTTCTTCAAATTACTTTTCACACCTTTCTTTTACTTGAACTTTAATTCTTTTTCCTTTCTTTTTGTCAGATCCATGTTTTTCTCCAAAAATATTCTTGATAAAGAATAAAAGAGCCATTTGCATTCAAAAACTGCTTAATTCAAATATCATATATTTTAGACTTTTGCCTTTTCTTTGCAGTCCCTGGAAGATTCAGAAGTTGGGGCTTTTGAAAGACAGTTTGTCTAGTTCAAATTGCCACTTCTGATAAGAAATTGAAATTGATTTCAGGAAAATGAGCAAGGCTTTGGACACTGGAAAGACCCAATGAGAATTTCACATTGAATTTTCATTTAAAGCCATAGGTTGATTCAGCCAAAGTTTGTATTAAATGGGTTTTTGGAAACAAATCTCCCAGGCTTTTCATGTGAGCTGGTTTGTTATGAAGTAATAGACAATCAGTTAGTGGCAAAATAAATCATTGGGGAAATGTACATCGTGTTAATGTAGGTGACGATTACCACGTTCAGATATTTTTTGCAATGACTAGAAAAAAAAACAAACATTCAAGTTCTCTTTGCTTAAGAAGAAACTGAAAGGAATTTTATTCCATACATTTAAAAGGAGGAATACGTTTGCAACAAAATAGCCAATGGCACTAATTTGAAGAGCGAATCTGTGTTTTCAGACATCTATCTATCTATCGATCATCTATTGATCATCTATCTGTCTATCTATCTGCATGTATTTATATATGCCATGTATATTTCTATATATATCCATGTAAAAAATGTTGAAATCAGTCCGGAATGTCAGTGCACATTAAGAACATATTTTATCTACAGTAGATCTCTTTAAAACAAAGGAATGGTACTGAGCTTAAATTTCCCTTTTAAATCTTTCATTAGTGCTCCAAAGTAGATTGTCAGAAAACAGCAGTTTAACTCCTGTGGTAGGCCAAACATGACATTAGCATTAGTTTTACATTTAAAATATTGGTTTAGAGAATCTTCTTTCCCTGCTGTGTGAAATGAATTAATACACTGCACATTTTGGAAAGAAACACTTTACCAGAGGACTGAGGAACAGCAGTGAACAGTGGATGCTGCTTTTGAAGCTGTGCCACCCTTTCATGCTGTGGAGCCCAGGTGGGCTGGAGGGTGCCATGTGTTTGGCTCCACATTTGCAAAATTATTTGGGAATTTCCATCGAGAACACATTTATTCTCTACCCTGCACTGCAGAATTTATACTGCTGGGAAGCTCAAATTAATTACAGCAAAAACTTAGAAAGTGGAAATACGAAATGGATACGGAAGGAAGGCATAATGTTGAGTTTTCATTTAATTTTGAGGCCATTCTAAGCAACTACAGTTTTCAGCACAGAGGAGTTTCCTACCTTTTCCAGTGCTCYTCACCTGATCCCATACACTGCCTCAGAAAAGTGATTGTTTTCCTGGCCCTGACAAACTCATGAGATACTGCTGTGTAAATTGTCATGGCATCTGCAGAGTTCTCCATTAGCTGAGATTGTGTGGCTGTTTTCCCAGGCAATTTCTGACAAATATGCATGGCTTAGGTTGGATACTAGGAAAAATTTCTTTATGAAACGTGTTGTCAAGCGTTGGGACAGACTGCCCAGTGAAGTGGTGGAGTCACCACCTGTGCAGGGATTTAAAAGGTGTGTAGACATGGCACTGAGGGATGTGGTTTAGTGGTGAATTTGGCAGTGTTGTGGTAATGGTGGGACTTGATGATCTTAAAGGTCTTTCCCAGCCTGAAATATTCTAGGATTTGTTTGTAGAAATGAAACCTTACTGCACTTTGCTTCATCAGAGCCATCTTCACACTGGGGAACGCTGTCACACAGGTTCTGCAGAGGGATGCATTTCCCACTGCCACACTGATGCTCATCAACGGAGCATGGCCCTGAAGGGGAACAAGAGAGGAAAATTAATCCATAATTATGAAGAAGATGGATGTTCACAGGAGATCTTACAGTTCACATGTAGATAGTTGTGTAGGCATTATGCAGAAACTTTGATTTCCTTTTCCATTTCCATCCATAACTTTCAAAATAATGACAATTTTCAGATAAACAGAAGCTAATTAAGAAGAAAATCTATGGTACTCTGCCTTGTAGCTTCTACTCAAGTTAGTATTGCTCAGTGACTGGTGCTCTTCTATTGCAAATAATGAACACAAGAGTGAAAGTCAAATCCTGTCAAAAATGACTCATGATTTCAATTTTCAAATGTTCAACATTTCACAAATTTTAGAGACTTTAAATTATGTCAAATCAAGCATACAAGCAAAGAGGTAATGAGAGCCAAGGGTCTCCTTCTGAAACCTGTTTGTGAGGAAAAGTGGAAGAGATAAAAGGAATAAATGAGGAAAGCATTCTTAAAAGTAGGATTAARTGATTTCAGAATGAGTCAAAAACAAATGAGGGAGTGAATAAATGTAAAGTTATAATTCATTCCATGGCCAAAGTTTATTTTTAATGGCTTCATTTATTTACAGAGAATATACAGCCATAAACTTAAATTTTATCCAAAAATTGTTTATTTAACCTTCCTGGGCTTACTGACTTAAACTTTTAATTATCTAGAAGTCTTATTTAAAGCAAGATAATTGCTTTACTTCTGAATTTTTAATGTTCTTATAAAATGATTCATTCATCAATCAGCATGGCCTGTACCAAATGGAACAGAATAATATGGTTTATAAAAGGCCTGGACCAAATTTTCACAACATTCCATTTCCATAAATAATGACAGATATTGACAGATACTCCATAGAACTTAGTTCTTACATAGAGAGGATTTTTATAGTATTACATACTGCCAAAAATGATTTCTGTTCAAGTTATTTTTTTGTAAAAACCCAATATTTCATGGAAAAAATAAAATACAAAGAAAAAATCTGCTTTTCTTCTAAAGTTAATTTATTTACTGACAATCCTTTTATTCTTAGGCCTGCATGCTAATGATATTATTCTCTGTCTTTTGGCTGCAAAGATCATGAATAAGCATAATTCTTTTTCAAATGGAAGCTTTTAAATATATTTAACCTGAACTGGCAACGGCCACTCTGAGAATTCTGCCTTGCTAAGCTTAATTTTCATTTTACAAAATATGGACAAGGCTGGCTCAGCAAAGGTGCTGAACCAGCTTAAAAAAAAAAAAAAATGGCAGAGTGTTGTTGGACTGAACAAATGTGATAGACAAGGCAGACCAAGAAGCAGCAAAATTGTCAGAAACACATAAAAAACAACCTCTCACTCTTGCACAAGGGGACTATACAGAGTTAATTTTACAAATGTAGACCAATGGTGAAATTTTTAAAAAGTATTTAGAAAATTAATATTTTTATTACTGTAAATCCATGAAAAATGAGCAGCTGGCTAATTAAGCTGGGAGACACTTGTGTTTTCTGATAGTTAAAATAAGAACAAGAGCCCAGATCCTTGATGACTTTCTGTTCCTGTAAGTGAATGGTTCTTCACACGTCTCTCAATACATCCTGCTTTTTCTTTTTCTGCTTTTCTCCAGTCCTGTCAGACTGCCACAGAAGTAACACAAACTCTCTAATTAATTCAGTCAAGATTTGGCCTAGAGTAAGTGTAATTATTTGTCCTGCTAAGCATATTACTGTTCCATGTAATTTGCATTAGGCTTCATTTTGCATATTTTTGGCAAGTTGATTGCTGAATTATGAGTGACAGGTCTAATTGCAGCCACCAAGGAAATCAAGAGCCTTTCAGAAGGGGTTTGGCTGGGACCAGAAACACTGCTGTCCAAATATTTAAGAGACTAGTTCTTAGATGATTCACACACTAAAAACCAACTTTGAAAGAAGCAAGAAGGACCTTATTGCAAATATTTATCAGACTTATCATGCAGTTTTCTGTTCTAGTGAATGTTACAAATAATAAATATATTACAAATGCATTTAAACACACATTGATGACACCCTGAAATAAATCACAAAGTGATGGGGTGTTTTTTTTTTCCCTGGGGCTCTTGTAGGGAATCATTAGTATACGCCCTCTTAATAGCTGAAATTATTTTGGTCAAATATTTTGGTTAAAAATACTGAGTTGATCTTTTATATAAAACCACAGAATTTCACATGATATGTGATTGGAGACATTGCTCCAATCACGCTAAAGAAACAAACTCATCATTTTTCATGCCAGGAACTATTAAGTACAGATGACTAACCAGCCTTTTTCTCTTTAACATTTGCATATTTCTACTGAGCAAGCTCTCAGAGCCACTTTGCACTCTCCACATTTTCCAAAATGCATTTTACCAATGATATAACCACTTAAACACAAAGTTCAGATGCTTACTGAGGAGGTATCCAGTGGTAAAGTTTGCAAGAAATCCCTTCCCTGTGGCAGACTTGTCAGTCCTGAGGATCACCGTCATCTGGTTTGTTGTAGAGAAGACATCTGGCAGCGGGCCCTTCTCTGTGTAGACAGCTATCCCCAGAAAAACACGAGCACAGTCAATTTATTTTGTTCAGATGTATTTCAAAATGTTTTTGGGTTCAAAACCAAATGCTGCCACCACAGTGGCTTTCCCAAACCCAGCTGTTGTCAGTTTGCAATGGTCAGAGCCCTACACCAGCTTTGCTAATCAGCTCAGGACAATAAGGCTCAACTCAGAGATTAATCCTTCTGTTGGTCCTCACTCATAAACAACCTGATTTACTGAGAAGTTGATTTCTCACAGATTCCATAGAGAACTGAGTGTGTGGAAATGGGATCTCCCACACAGTATGGTTTCTCAATTTTTCCTTTGAATTTCTGAGGCCCCCAAAATGCTAACAAAATGAGAGGAATTCAATTTCCTTTATATTATATCCATCACTTTGCTCCCGCTGTCTGATTACATTCACTTTAGCACCCACTCTGCTACTTGCCCAAAAGTAGGGAATCTGGTCCTCTGCCATCTCTGATTTCAACCACATCATAAATGCTTTCCAGATCAAAAACCTGGAAATGAAGTTGGATGTTTTTTCCATTTTCAGCATTCAAGTACCACACACCTAGAAAACAGTAACACACAAATCACGTTTTCAGTAGTTACATTTACTGTGTCATTTTTGTGTTGAAGTGTTTTGGGGCAAAAAATATCTCCTAAATTATTGATAGTCACTCAAGAGGTTCAGAAATTTAAATCTTATATTTAAAAACTGTTAAGATCCAAAATTCAATAGATTCTCATTCTTGAAACACTTTTGAAACTAAGTGTGGTTTTACACGTGTGTTTTTTTTACACATGTTGTTTTTATCATTCATGTCAGCTGTGAGTTCCCTTAAATTAGTAAAGCTTGTTCTTTTCTGTGACAGTGACAAATAGTGTTGTCACTTAAGTCTCGTTTGATAGAAAGATAATTTTCATAATCAGTCACAGAAGCCTGTATTTCAAGTTAAAGTAGCTCTATGCTTCTGTTTGGCCTATGCTTTCTCATGTTTAAGCTATCTAAGTGTGGATGCTACAGAAATCTTGTAAAGAAATTTTTAAAAAACCTACTAATTTAAAATATTTTCATGTAGTGAAAAGTATTTTCTCACTAGTAGGAGTCTCATTTGGGAACTTGTGAAATGAAAACTGGAAATGTGAGCCACATCTCAAGCGGAACAGAAACACAGAATGACAACTCCTATGATTACCATCCCAACACAATTCCCCAAGACTGAATGAATAAATAATTGAAATGTCATTAAGAATCAATGAAAAAGTGCTTTTCCTTGCTTTATCCATCAACAGCACACAGTGGACCACCTTGAAGCACTCATTTTTTGCCAGCTCTAACTTAATTTAAATCAAACAACATAAATAGAATAGCAATTTCTTCTCACTCATATGTTAAGAAACATTCAATAAAGAGAGGATTCCTTCCAAAATGCATGAACTTACTCTTTGCCTCTAGAAAACCTGAGCTTTTTAACAAAAGAARTGATGATATTAACCTGACAAATACACCAGGTTATGGTAAAATGGGTACTTTCATCACTTTATGTGTCTCTGCGTTGACATAAAGATCTCTGACATAATAATCAGGATGGAATTGGCCTGTCTGGACCCATTCCATGAGATTGTGCTTGTTTTCATCACTTTTTAATCAACTGGCACATGTTTCCCTAGCTTCTGCTCAGTACCATATAGAATGCAGTTTAAAGATCCCACTGTATATAGCTTAGATATTTTTTGTTGTTGTTTTTGACAGCATCTGAGTTGGAAAAAGAAGATTTAGTATCTCTATTTTTATATGGTTACAATTCTCCTGAAGATTTGGAAAAGAATGACTTACAAGAAGCTAAGTTAGGGTAATTGTTTGGAAAGTTTGCAGAGCTGAATGTATTGTTTGGCTCCCAGAGTTCAACCGGCCCTCCACAGTCAGCTGAAAAAGAAAACATTTCAAGGACATAATTAACCTACTGTCTTACTTCCTCAATCTGTGGTAACAATGATAGTATGTAAAAGTGATTTTCATGATTATTGGTCTGCAAGCTGTGCACAGGACAGAAATATGAAGACAAGAATGTGATACAGTCATGTCTCATTTACTAGCATGGTAGTAAAAAAGGTAGAAAATGTAAAGAGCAAGAAGCCCCAGAATATAAGCAATTCATGCACTTTTTTTTTTGTATGCCTTTCTTGTTATTTGATCAATCTTAGAATTACAGAATCATTAAGGTTGAGAGARAGATCACTGAGTCCAACCTTTGACTGCTCAACAGGACCTTGTTACCCTTGTCAACCATACACTGAGTACCCCGTGGAGCTGTTTCCAGASCACCTCCAGGAATGGTGACTCCCCCACCTCCCTGGGTGGCCCCTTCCAATGGGGACCCTTCACTGGCCACCCTTCAGTGGAGAAATTATTCCTGCAGCATCAGTGATCTAGTAATAAACTTACTGCAAAAAMCCCCAAACTCCTTTCACTGTTACTTTGTTTTCATCAGGACCCCGAAAACTTTATAGCTAAACTTTGTAAGTGRTGAAAACGGCCATTTGCTTTTTCCTTAACTGTTCTAATAGCAAATATCTTTGCCATAAAGATTTATATGTACTTACTGGTAAAAATTAATAAAATTTCTTTTAAAAGCAAGTCTTGTAGATATATGTACACACATATTCATGCACTCATACACATCAGATATATGTACATATATGTACACACACATCACATGCACAGACATAGCTAACTGTACTTTATATATACATAACTAATTGTACTTTATATATTCAATGATCTATTTCAATTTATAATTTTCATAGTGGTTTACATCCCCAGTATGTCAGCTTCATATTCAAAAGCTTTACTTGATTTTAAGAAATATTATTTATTTTCATATAAGCAATCAGAATGGCTGAATGTGCCATCAGAACGAACTTTGGTGTTTTTCAACATTTGTTTCCTGTTTTTAATTTATTAAAAAATGAACAGTGCTCCTCCACTTGCTGCAGGAAATAGTAATTAAGCAAAACAGTTTTACCTTCTTTATTTTGGTTATTTTTGATGTTTTATTATTTGGATTTAATTTTCTTTTTTCTCCCYAGACTTTGGCTAAACTTTAACTCTCTCATCCCTATCCCTTAGGGCTCATATTTTGCATACCATGATGTCTGACAGTATCTCACACTTGGAGCCACTTGGTTGGAGACCACATAATCTACAAGTCCTACCAAGTTTGACCAATGAATCCCACTGGCAGGAAGCTCAAATAAATAAATAAATAAAAGAAAAACTTCCTCACAACAACCATCTTCTAGAACTTTCAATTTCACCAAATCACTCACGACACAAAAAACTCTTGAAAAGGAAAAGGAATTGTTAACACTCTGACCCCGACTAATAAGTATATTATGTATATATAAATATTTTCAGCCATGAGTCACAATAAGGATTATTTTCTATAAATACTATGAACGAAATATAAAGTTGGCTATTTTAATGGAACATTATGTCATGTGAAATCTGATCTGGTCTTGACTAGTAACGACATTTTTCTTCCATGGAAAAATGAGAGAAGAAATTAAATTTACTCATGTCTTGAGAAAGGTTTTTAAAAATTTCCTGTCCATTTAACACAAAATCTTATGGAGTTATTCATACAGCTCTTACTCATTAGAGAACCAAATAGTAATCACTACCAACAATCTTGGTTGAGCATGATTTTCTCAACACTTCAGAAATTATATCTAACCTAATCATCAATAAATTCCTCTATGTTTTGGCCAAAACTTCAGTTTATATTGACATTACACATGTTAAGTGTGGAATCTTACACTGTTYGTATTAAAAGACAGGTTATAAATTAACATGAAGATGAAAGCAATCTTTGTTTTAGATGAAAGTGTGAGCTGACAATCTTGTGCTAAAGACAAAAGCAAATCTGACTTCCCTATGTCACCATCAAAAACATTTTTTACATTTAAAGGGGCTTTTTTTGGCACTGTGAATGATGCCAGTGACTTGTACTGAAGCTCTAATTGTAGTAAAAGGGATTGATTCAGCTCAAATTCTTTTATGTCTTACTTATGGACATGACATTTGTAGTGAAACCATTAATGTTAGTAAGCTTGTACACATTCATCAAAGCGTTTCATAGCTCTTTGAAGATGATTGATAAGAATCACTTATTTTCATCAGGTGACACCATGTAGTAGGATATCCCAACAAAGCCATGAAAACAARTTATTTTTTCCCCAGCAATGGCTTAGGCTGTCCTTTTGTATCATGGATCCCATGTAACCTCTTTCATAAGGAGTTATAAGCTATAATACCATGTCCTTTTATTTTATCACCATATTTTAGGTAGAGATTTATAGTTTGATATTTCYTTGTTGTTTTTCAGGAGCACTCAGCTACCATTTACCACAGGGCTGTTCCACCACTAGTCATTAGTCTGGTGCTAATTGGTGAGGTGTGTTTACCCACAGCACCTGAGAGATGGCTGGAGGGGCCAGACATGAGCATCTCTCCACAAAATTACTTTAATAAAAACTGCAATTAAATTGCAAAACTCATTTTGGGAAACTATGACTGAAATTACCACTATTATTAAAATTTAATTTTGGTGAYGGACACAATTTTTTGAACTGTACCTCCTTGTGTCTCATGATGGAGCTCTAAAATTGCATTTTACTTTTATATTYAGAAGGTTTTGTTTTATTAACTGTCCTGATGCAGTCGATTTGGAGGTGGCAKATTTTATAGAATGACAATACTAGTATACAGTTTTTCAACATGAATACAATGCAAACAGTGTCTTTTTTACTCTAATTATAATTTTAGACCATTTTTATTCACTATATGCTGCCAAGAGAGCAACTGGCTGTGCTTTGAAAGGCACAGTAAATCTAAAAAGAAGCTGTCCTGGAACATTCTCAGTGTTTGTTTTAATGATTTGAAGCCATGTGTGAATAAGTCTTTTGCAGAAATCTTTTTCCCCCCAGATTTCATCCTCTTTCAGAATAAATTACAAAGCAAGGACTATCAGATATTTTAATGATTTTCCCAAAAGGTCTATTTTTGTTTGTATTGGGTTTACTTTGAATATGCCTGGACTTGTTTAATGTCATATATGACCTTTTTATTTTTTTTTTTTAATATAAATTTTCCAGATTAATAATCATGGTTACTGTTTTCTCATATTTTTCTCTGTGAGATTTTCCTGACTAGCTCTGTGAAACTGGAAGGTTTAAAGAGGATGCTTAAACCTCTGTGCTTCCCTCTAAATGACTCTGCTGTTGGGAAGGTCTGGATCAAGCTATACAACCTGTGTGGTGAGGGATAGAGCTCAATCATATTATGCTATCCTGAAGATAAACTTAGAGTGCTGAAGAGAGATTTTATAAAACCGAAAGTTGAAAATTCTGACCCACTCACCCACAAATACAGTGATAGGAAACCAGCTGTGATTTAGGGTTTACTTACTAGGAACCAAAGGGGTGGTAGCAACAGTTGGCCTCACAGTTGGCTCCACATAATTACTGTCATCACAYTTTCCCTTTGTCAGGCCAATGTCATCCACAGCAATGTCACTGCGACCACGTCTTTTAAAGGCATCAAAAATAACCTGAAATTCAGGAAAAAGAAATAAATTAGAATTTTGTAATTTAATGAACCATTTTCAGCTTCCTGTGCCATGCCATTCTGTCTTTTCTTGAATGCTCTTATTTCCATTGTAATCTACACTGGTGCTACACAAGGAGACAGAATTCCTCACAAAACAAAACAGCACAATGCAAACTGACTGGATGATTCTGAAGAATGTAGTAGCTTCTTCATATAAATGATGAACATGATTTAAAAATATTCAATACCTTTGCTTTTTATATKTAAGTCCATGTAATTTTCAAAACAAATCCTGCACTGCTCATCAGCCCAAACCTCTCTTGAACTAGTGGCATGAAAAACTGGAATTAATCTAATTTGTCCTTTTCTGTGCTTTAATATTGACCTATTTAAAGTAATCCTGCAAACAAGGGATTAATGATGGTGAAATAGAGTTAGGTATAGCAATCTTTTTGAGATCCCATGTAGTTACATATTTCCTGGAAATCTGATGCAGCCAGGTCACGATGTATTTATTCCCTCAGATGTTAAATGCATCATTCTGGCAGTTCTWGCCAGAATTCAATCAAAACTACTGTAGCAGGGCAAATCATCCCAAATACCTATAAAAAGAAAWTGTTTTTCTTCAAAAGAGAGGTGCTGAAAGAATTGTCTGGAATAAATCACCTCCTTTTGTTTACATAAAAGTCAGGTCAGTTTTTAACCATGTGGTGGCAATACCACTTCCATCTGTAACACACTTTCAGTGGATTAATCTCTAAGTAATTAGTGAAAACCCTAATTCAGAATCTGAAGCAATTTAAATTTAAATCTTTGCATTGTTAAGTGCTTCACATTATCCTCACTATTGAAATTTTATATTCCACAGGAGATTTTGATTGGCTTTGAACACGTTTTGTGGAAAGCTCTTATGATAACATTCATTGTTCCTTGACAATGATCAGGTTTCTGTTTTCTGAAAATTACTACTTTAAATTCCAGAGTAGGGAAAAGGGCATGCGAGAATTTAAATGAGGAGTCCAGTGTTCTGTATGCTAATATTTATTTGATGGCATGCATTAAATGTCATCAAATAAATGATATTAATTATTATCTATCTATTAGCCGTGGAACTTTAGGTTCATTCCACAGAAAACTGATACCAGTTTAGCAAAAATAAATGAAAAGAAAAAAAAAGCACTTTAACAAACCTTAAAATCAGTTGTTTCATTTAGAGTTACTTGTCCATAATTCCAGATGTTTCCATAATCTCCTTCTTTCTCGAAGATTATCTTTTCCTGGCCATGCCCATCACTTATGCTGACTCTTAAACGGTAAACATTAGTACTGTACATGAAATACCTGGAGGGGGAAAATATAAAAGAAATTTTGGCATAATTAAAAAAAAGTCAAATTCCATGAAAAAAGTCACTCTTTTTACTTTATAATRTTTTATGAAATTAAGATTAACTTGAAGCGAGCATGAAAATAAAATTAATCTTATGTTTAGATTACACTAGGAATTGTAGAGGCCTAGTTAAGTTTCATGACAAAAAACACTTCAGGGATTCTCAATATAGTTTTTGCGTAGAAATAAATATTGGATACAGCGCGAAAAATATTATATTAAAGCTAACTTTAGAGTTAGCTTTAATATAAAAAGARTCAAAGCTATAAATGTGTTAAAGCTTCAGGCCTGGGATTGAAACTTATCTTGGAAATCCAAACAGAACCAGGCTGGTATTGCTGGCACACTGCCTTGGATTAATATTCCTTATTAAGGAATATTCCTTAAAGAAAGYTCTTTGGGTTTATTCTTAAAACAAAATATAGGTTTAGGAATTATGCAATAATACCAAAAGCTTAGACAATATGTATCTGAAGGGACCAAAGGCAAACTCAGAATCCGGACTCGCTCTTCCAGGACTCCAAATCCAATGGGTGTTGAAATATAAAATCCTGCAAGATAAGGAGCACGCTTTAGCCAGGAGAGAAGCACTTTTTTTTTTTTTCTTTTTAAATGACATTTTAATGTTTTTTTATAGTTTTTAAATTTAAAGTAACATCAAGCACAGATGTCATTGCATGATTTGGAAGATTCCTGACACAATAAATGTAAATGACTATCCCAAGTTATATTCATTAGTCAATGACATGTACAACTGAGTTTTTAAGCTTCTTGGATACTCRTCAGAATTAGATAAGCAATSGGAAACTATTCCTTTTCAAGTCAGTGGGAAATATGCCTTGTATTAAGTGAAGGCAACAATTCTACTTGGTTTATAAAAATATATTCCTGTTTGATATTGCTTGTGATTTTGCAGAAGAATTTCCTGACATTTTCATYATTTGTATCCACATAAAAGTGGGAAATATGAATTGTGTGTTGAGAGAATGATAGAATGACGAGAATCTTTTTATTGCAAGGTGAAGCACTACAAACAAAAAAAAACCCTCCTTTTTTTTTGTGAAATTGAGCTTAAAGCTTTTTCTGACATTATTTGTTGCAGCTGGGAATTTGGACCTCTTATTGCCATTTGAGGCCAGACCACAGAAGCATTGGGGTTTGTCACAAGAAATACAAACTTAGACAAATCTAAAATAAAATTATTTTTTTTATTCCAATAATGGGTGAAATCTCAGATTTTCTTCTATCCAATACATACAAATGTTATATTAATAGAATTTGCAAACAAATGTAATAATATAATTTAATTTATGTACACTCTACTCTGTTATTTGTACTTCCAGATTATCTAGCTGTTTCATGTGGGGGGGTTAAAATACCTGCAAATTAGTCTGAAATCTGAACCAGGCTTTTCATTTCATGTGTTGACTTAAAAAGAATGCATTAAACCATACATGGCATGCAGTTTTAAGAAAAAGACCTTAATTTAGTCAAAAGTGACAGTTCTCTATCTTTGTTTCATCAATTCTCTGACCATTCAGAATCTGCTGTTGGATGTGTATTAAGTCCTCTATTCTTCAAGGGTAGAAAAAAAAATAGAAATTCACTGAATGTTTGTAATAGCTCGACATTAATGATGCAATTCACATTTTAACTCAAAATGCAGGCCACAAAAATTTAAATATGCAATTAATTGTAACATTACACATATGGACATTACATATGTCAGCTTGAACTTGGCACGGGGAAACAGACAGCACCTAAAATAGATTAACAGTTTCGGGAGAGAGAGAAACCATTGTCAAGTGTTTTGTTAAACAAAGTTTATGTTCTATTATCTGATTTGCATTCAGGGAGCCAAGTGGGAAGACAAATAACTGTTCTGAAGATTGTTTAGAAAATGTGCATTTATTCAGAGAGGGGTGAATAATCTCTGCCTGATAAAGTGCAGATTACTATTTCTCTTTTCCCAGGAGTAACTCCTTTCAGAATAATTTGCAATTTTCCCAGTTATTTGTCACTGAATAAGTTTTATGTGAGTCTTTCAYAGAATACATATAACCATTGCAAAATACAATTTAGGTTTTATCTGGTTTCAGCTGGACTGACAAATCAGCTGAGAAAGTGATTATTTGGTTTTATTGTTGAAGCAGAAAAAAACTTATGGGGTTTATTTCTGGGATAAAGATTCATGATACACTCAAAATCTGATTCCTCTCAGTATTGTCTCTTCAAATAAATTCAATTTTTGATATGACCACTCTTCCAGTTATTTGGTTGTAGCAGTTACTGGGGTGTTTGTGTGTTTGACACAGTTGGTCTGCTTGTTGTGAAGTAACTGGGGATGCAGATGCCCCACTGCAAGTCAAATTTRTTTAAATCAGAATTATTTTGTGACATCCATGAGAATGCCAGCAGTAGAGAGGGATGAAATAGAAGTGATTTCCCTAATATGCAAATACATTTTTTTCCCTCAAAACCCATGCAGGGTTTTGATCTATAACATTTTTTTCATAATGGAAATTCTCAGATAAGGTATTCTGGTGCATTAATAGCATTGAAAATTTTCAGTATCTCACACTTTAATCATCTGACTTTTTTTTCTTTATTTCTTCCTTTAGTTTTGGTATATTTCCACAAGATGGCAATCAGTAATATAAAATGTTTTGTCTGGTAGCCCTCATTTTTATGGCAGAAGAAAATGTCATCCTAGTAATACCACTATGAAGAATCCATTATGCAATGATATAAACTAAATCAAGTTTTTCCTTTAATCTTCAAACCACTTTTTTTTTTTATCTTACCTGACAAGTTGCCAAATGTATGATCAAACTCAGGACCACTCATTGGGGGAAAGGTAGGACCCTGAACCCTCTCCCAGTCTGAATCATCATCTAAATCTTGTATCCAGTAACAAAAGCCATCTTCAAAAGTGCAATTGATTTTCTCATAACCTGTGAATAAGAGCAACTAGTAAATAAAAGATGACAGAGATGGTAAGTATTTTCTCAGAATTACACAATAATGAGTGATGAACAATATAAATTTTTAAATAAGTTTATAAACTAGTCCACAGTGACTCAATTTCCACTTTCTGCAATGCAAGAGAATTACTCAAATAAATGTGTTATTTGTACATGTTARCAAAATACTATTTTTGAAGGATGGCCCTACACACTCTTGTACTCATTCACCAATCTTCTCRTCTTTCTCTTCCTCTTTCCTTTTCCAAGGCCTGGATTACTCCTGCAGAAAGAGCTCCCCATTAGAGCTGAGTGCTGTGCTCCACGCCCCTGGGATGCCCTTTCCTTCTTCTCATTTGCTCTTTCTTTGCTCACATGTCCTTGCTGCATCCTCCTCATCACTTTTGTTCTCATGATCTTTCAGTGTCTGTCCACGGTGCCTTGAAACAGAGATCAGGCAAGGCTTCCACACGACAGGAGCTTGATTGCTGTTGCTCTGGATGTTTCCTGCACATATCCCACCCCAGCCACATCCCCTGCTCATACCCTACTCAAAATTTAGTAGCTGAAGCAGCCTTCCCTTGTCCAATTACCAAAGCATGATTTATATTCTGCATTTTGTTGTCATTGTAGATTTATTGGATCCAGACTTTTCCTAATGCCTATTTACTGAATGGAGTAAATAGGTAAATATATGTATTTTCCTAGATGTTATTCCTAAATGTTTTTCTGATTTTTTTTTTAATAAAGATATTGTGGTCAATGATTTCATGGTGTTGATCAGTAAACAAACTGGCTGAGAAGAAACTGATGGAAATATGGGCATAATTTTTTTTAAACAGGTGAGCTTTGTCAGACATCACCCTATTGCAAGATACAAGCCTGAAAAGCTGTGAATGGCTTTATTGAAATAACTTATTTGATCTTTAAAACAACATGAAATTTTTCAAGTGATCTAGTTCGTGGACTGAGGGCCAGAAAATGCTGCTTCCCTTTCCACCTCCATTTTGTCAAACTGAAAATGCAGATTCACCAAAGTTTTGGGAGAACAAACACACACAACACRCACAAAGAACACTTACTGTTTAGTTCACTCGCATTAAATGCAGTGTAGGTTGCATTAAAGCCATTATAATTCTCTTCATAATCAGACATAAACTGTGCTGTAGCTTCATGAGAATAAATGTAAATGGTGTCAAGATTGGTGCCTGACAGAGAAGCTGAAAACAAATAAAAAACAATAGTCAGAGAGAAAATAATCCTATGCACATTAAAATCTCCAGTTTGTCACAAAAACACAGTGGATTTGTTTATAGAATTTTGAGGAATACATTTCCTGTTCTACTGTGATTCTGTCACAATAACAGCCTCCTGAGGCATTTAGCTGTTTGGCTGACATATAAATATTCTGCATATTCCATCTCTCATATCCATCAATATCAATATCAGCTAGTCTTTTATTGTCTTGCATTCCCATTCTCTACCTACTTCCAAAAATAAGGATAAATAAAGATATATTTTTCTGATTTTATATTCTATCTTCATTAYATGTTTTTCACCTCTGGTGGAATTCAGCTGTATGGACCAAGCCTTATGAAAAATGGGTACAAACTCAGTTTTCAGAGTGGAATACAAAGACAGAGATAAGGTATTATCAGTAYTTCAAGATCTAAGGAAAGCAATGTCATTACCATGATTTTTGGGGAGTTTCACAGCATTTTCCTCAACAGTTCARTTTAGATGTTTTCATTTTATGTTACTGTGTGATATTAAAGGAACCTCTGACAGTGTATTTCCAATGAAACTTGGACCCCACAGTACCATGAGACTGATGAAGTTATCCAGATCATTTAAATAAGATCTTTAAAAACAAGTGGAAATTTCTTAATATATAATGAAAGCATTTAGCTGGTCAAATTTAAGGGCAGACATGTATGTGAGATTTATTGATTGAGATAAATTGTCTGACGGGGTAATTTTATGCAGATCCAATCTTCTTCTTAAACATATATGTGAAACTTTTTATACCTCAAAATGCTTCTTTTACAACTTAGATTTTATTAATGAGAAAGTATTATTAGCTGAAAAATAAACTTACCTCTTAAAACCTTGTTTTGTCCTAATCCTTCAAAAATACTCAATGTGTCTGCATAAGGTTGTGTTTCAAAAGAAGTGAAGTTCAGTTTAATGGACAACCCTTGAGGAACTCTAAGGCAACAAGAGAAAAATAAACTCAGAACTGAAAATCTATTTTTTTTGACTAAAGTAATTAATGTTAAATTCAGAAGCAACATGGAATTATATTATATTAATATAATATAATAACATGGATTATATTAATCAAGATTATAAATCTAGATGACTTATTTGTATAAATTTCAGCTTGTAAAATTGCCAAAGGAATTGGGCATGAACACATTGAAAGAGTGCATGGACACCTTTACTCACTGGAATTAAACATATTCTAGAAACTGAAT